GAATATGTGTGGGGTTGTGAGAAAGGGCGCTTTAACGGTGAGCAATAAAATTTGTCTGTGAATTGGAGAAGATGAAAAAAGACCATTAACTGGAAAATCAGATAAATTTGAAGTAAGGGACGTATCTATCCCCCCAACGCTTTCTCAAATCCAGTCATTGTTTTAATCAACTGTCTGCGCTCCTTCACAATCACAAATCTTCGGTTATCACTTCAAGAATAAGGAAATTTTATTTCCTAGCGTAAAGATGTGGGAGTGATTCGAAAGTTTTAGTGGCGATTTCTTTTCATAGGTGGTAGGGATACGTGTCCTAAAAGGTGTTCTAGGTTTTCATTTCTTAATTCCAGAGGTAGGCGTTGAAAGCCTGTGACTGCGAATTGTTTGTGCAAGGAGACTCGAATCGGTGCCCAGCTTATGATCACATTTTCCCTAAAACCAGTTCAAATTGCTTACAGAACCGATGAAAAGGAGTTCATCTGGAATTGGGCAAGTTGATGAAATTTGACGGTCCTACCGTCAATCTAAACTTGGAATATTGGGAAATTTGAAATGCTCTCGGTCTTATTGAAAAAAATGTTCATATGAGAAGTACAATAGGGTGGGTGGGTGGGTGGAGGGGGGGGGGATAGCAAATTGCATAGTCTCCAAGCGTGTTTGATAACAGAAGAATGAGTTGACTGGAAGTTAAAATATTGGAAGCTCAAATAATATGCTGATATGTGGCACTGCGCAGCTGCTACGTTTAATACTTTTCTTAATTGCTCGACTAAAAATTGTCTATGTAATGGGTTCCAAAATTAAATTCCAATTAATATTTGTGTATATTTCATTGGTTTTGAATGTGGGGGGGGGGGGGTAGACTGAGTAAGAAGAAAGGGCGTTGGAAGGAATGGATATTTACTCAGTAATGCCTATTCCAACAAATATTCTCATGTGCAATTCGAAGTGTTCCTTGTGCCCCGTTTAGAATTTTGACATCTCTGAGCAGATTAAATAAACCCCATTGAACTGCAGCCTTATTATTCTTAAGTTTACACAATCGGAATACGATTTGAACATAAAGGTGATTCGCTTTAGATTATACAAGGATATCTCTGGAACATGAGTTTTAATCTGCATCTCCTTGCCGCTAAAATCTTTACGAATGTAGAAAGCCCTTTTTTCAAGTCAATTGGAGACCACTATACCAATTTTCATGATCTTCGTCTTGATTTCTCTTGTTGCTTCCTGATCACATTTATCACAACCCAGTTTCAATAAAGTGAAGTCCATGACTTTCAGATTCAATATTTTAAATTTTCACTCTTTATTTCCACCCACCTGGAACATACCATATCCTACTACTATTCATGGCCAGGATAATGAGATTAAAATAAAGGCTTAGTACAATGAGCACATTTGGTGGAACTTTTACCAAATTTTATTCGCCCCAAATCGATATTCAGTGGATTTTTTTCAGATGGAATTATTAAGTGGTTGAATATGATGCTATTGCGTACATGGTAGGGTTCGAACCCCGCAGAAATATTCACTGAGCCATCTCATTATTCTCGGGATGAAGTAACTCAGAAATCAATAAATACAGAGAGTGAGCAAAGTTTTGGAAAATGTTTCTCCAATCGACTCCCATTGTGTGTCAGTCTATATTCTAACGGTTGGAGTCAGTCCTTCGTGGGTCATCCCAGTTACACACACACACACACACACACACACACACATGGGGAAAGTCAAATTCGTCTCATTTTATAGGCACTTATCAATTACTTAATGTTCTTTTATAAAAAAAATTTCGCTATTGCTTGTCTAGGTATAGAATTCATAGATTAAATCCCAGTATTTTATTGTTTACTTTTCTTAACTATGTAATTTCATTTGTTCTGGTTGTTTAATATTTTTATTTTCTTTTCTAGTCTGTCAGTCCGCATTTCATTTGCTGTCTTGGTACTTTAAAATTTAATGCATGTCTAACTGACATTGTTATTAAATTTTAATATTCAACTGCTCCCAACTCAAAAAATAATAGATAAGTAATAAAATAATTTCTTTTAAATAGACAACCTATAGTCCGCTTTTGTATTAGCGTTAAGTTACATTCTGTCAGTGAAATTCACTACCACTTAAAGGGGAAATTAGGATTATCCAAACTGGTCTTCAGATCAAATAGGATAAATGGCAGTTCACCACTCGGCCATTTATTACTCCCAATTTTATGGCCGTCATTTCTGCCCATCTCACCTTTATAAATCCACCTCGTTATTGCCCATCAGCAGACAAAAATTCATCCTCCCTCACGCTTTGCAATTGAAACAAAACCGTTAAAACTGCATTGTCCATCTACTTAATTTCAATATAAGTAGCAAGTGGCTCCTGGGTAACTCCTCCGCCCCCCCCCTCGCTGCAATTTGTCCACGTAATTTCATTATGAGCTGAAAGTGGTATTGTCTTACTGGCTTTTAGAAACTGGAGGACTGCTTTTACAGTGGAGAGGTTGATTCTGCAAATTCTTCTTACGTTGCTGTGGATACTTGTTCGGGATTGAGGTATGTATATTGCTAGTCTTTTTAACCTATTTGCATGAGAGATGAGTCATTGCATTCATATCCGCTTTAGGGGTGCCATATTCTACCGCAATACGACTTATGTGATTCTGCCTTTGTCTTGCCCATCATGTGAACCACAAATTGCTCCTCATATTGTTCTTCCATGGTCACCTTCGCCAATTGCTCAAAGTAATTTCCCAAATCTTTATTTATTTATATCAAATGGCAGGCGGTTTGATGGTTATCATTTGCCCTTTAGTTGACTTCAGATTTCACAGAGGGGAAGGAACATCAAAGTGAAAAAAGTTGAGGAGGGGGGGGGGAATAGAAGAGTGTTTCAAATACGAAGGTAGAAAAGGTAGAAAAAGGTGAGATGAGTACTGTGAAAGTAGTCAAATATGACATACAGTGGGATGATGGTAGTTTGAAGTCATAGGTCAACTGCCAGGTAATAGATTTTTTTGCCGTATGAGTATACGTTCCCCAGGGTGGAGGTAAGTCTATCGCACACCCCGATTTCCCAAATATTGTATAGTAATTTCAGATAATTTATTCAATTAAAATTGGCAAATTCTTGTTCTTATAGGTTCTAACAGAATATTAATTAAGGAGAGTGGTGGAGAGGGGGGGAGTTGAGATTTTACCCATTGTAATCACCAAAAAGGAGAGTATTCTGAGAATCGAGTTACGATCAGTATTATGTCATTACTCACGGGACTGTAAATAAACTTGTGTGAGTTTTAACCTTGGTGTAGCATCTGAATACGCAGAACTTCGAAGAAGTTTAGTAATAGCTGAAGAGCTTCTAGTATCGTTGGAATATCCAGACTCTTACTTTACCTGACCACTAAAAGCACCGTATTGATCTCTTATTTATTAAATTTGGAACCAACTTCCTAATACTTAAAGTCTCCAAGGTTAATCTTTTATGATTTGATCCTTGAGTTCCCGGTTACCTTCATGTCTCCTATATCCAGTGGTTTCAAATCAGTTCATTTAATCCATTGATTAATCATGTCATTTGTTCTCATTTTTACCTCAGAGTTTGATGGGACCGCTAATAAAATTTTATGATTTCTATTAATATGGGAAAGTTTATTACTATACTATTCAATAGGCAATTTTTGAAATGAATTGCATTTAAGTGTTACTTTCAAAATGGGCAATTTCTTATTGGTATCCAAGTATATCCATTTCAATCTGTCTAAACTGTCAAAAATTGAAATGAAAGCTTTATAAAACTCGCTTTTAACTGGCAGTCCAAAATCAGTTGCGCACAAAGTGCTACTTTGCGACAAATTAGCCAAATTGTAAAATTGAAAAAGTGTGTTATTTGAACTTGTAGCTAAATTAAGCAACGCCCCTTTTTATCATTTTTATTCTTTAATGTTGTATCAAGTATCTTATTAATTTGTTAGCCAATCCGAACTAAATTTGATTACCCAGATGAGTAATTGCACGTGGATTGGCGCACTGGTGGCACTAATCATTCATTGTCATCGGAGGGATGATGAAAGCTCTAATCCTATTATTGAAGCAAAATTTAGGAACCAAGCCGTACTGGACCACTCACAAAATTTATGATCTTGCATAGGCCAACGATATAGGACAGTGGGGAGGAAGGTGTACGCATTAGGAAGCCGAATTGCAAGAGGAGTGGAAGGCGTCTGCACTAAGCAGTTTCGTGCCTCTATGAGTATTGTGCTATAGGTCTTATAAAGATTGAAGAGAGCCATCAAAATGGTGTAGAAGAACTCGCTAAACTAAAACTTCTCTAGTCTTTGGTAAATATTTATTTATACCAAATGGCAGGCGTTTTGATAGTTACCATTAGTCCTTTAGTTGACTTCAGGCCTCACAGAGGGTAAGTAGTCGAATATGACATACAGTATGGTGATGGTAGTTTGAAGTTAAGTAGTCGAATTTGACATACAGTGGGGTGATTGTAGTTTGAAGTCATGTCAAATGCCGGTTAATAGACTTTTTTGCCGTATGAGAATGTAGGACATATAGGGGGGTCATGGTAGTTTGAAGTGAGAAGAAAACTGCCGGTTAATAGACTTTTTTGCCGTATGCGTATACGACTGCTGGTTAATAGACTTTTTTGCCGTATGAGTATACGTGGAGTTAAGTCTATTGCAAACCCTTCTTTGGTAAATATAAATCGAATCGAAATAGACCGTAGGCAGAGAACAGAGTATGGTTACGTGCAATCGCTTGAGTATGGGAAATCGAATTCGAAATAATAAATAGTGAGAACGGGGATAAATTGAAAGGTAGTTTAAGGAGGTGGCCAATCTTAAGAAAGCTGTGAGCAAAGTTTGGGGGTTCGTTCTTTTTCTAATGTGAATCCTTTAGAACGTTCTTCGCCCCCCCCCCCTCCAAGTTTGGGAGTCACTGTTTTATACAATTTCCGGCGGGTAATTAGTAGTTTTTCTTCCCTCCTATTCAGATGCCTCAATGCGAACCTTCTGGCAGCCGGTTGATGTTATGGCTCTGATGCAAAAGGCCCTGGATTCTGGACTTCCTGATCCAACAAATGCAATGCACGATATCTGGTTGGAGTTCATTGTGGATCAAAATATGGTAAGCGTCTGGTTACTACAACTTGTACGCCAAAGAACCCATTCAAATGCTTAGTAGTTTGCGTGTGGTCGATTCCAAATGCATTGGCGAAGGCGATGTTGCTAATTTTGTTATGAGCATTTGCATATACTTTCAATTTCAGCTCTGGGAATTCAATGGAAGCTCGACGATAACTATTCGATATGTGGCCTCGGTGGTGAATCTGGTCAACTTGGTAAGACTTCTTGATATTCTTGAGCATTAAACTATCCATGTATTTGTTCAATCTGTAATACAACCAAGATGGCTTTTTAGCCCCAAACCTACATTTGCCAAATTCTTACTGATGGCATTAGAATTATTTTAACTTCCAAATTAAAGCAACTTCTAGCGACTGTGTCATCGGGTACATTCCAATGGATGGACCACTTTTCTGATTAAATGAACTTACTAAATGCAATATATATCTTAATCGCAATTTCTATATCTATGCTCCGCCAGCTTCCATCTTTTCACATAATTTTCATTTCCTTTTAATGTATATGCACACTTTAGACGTTTATTCGTGTGATCATTCTTCAGCCTCTTAGAATTAGTCATTTATCTCATTGATATATCCATAATTTTGAATCGTTTTATTTTTCGATAAATTAGCATTTCCGAGATCTGCCAGTTCGAATCCACCTGCTTCGAACACAAATTTGGAACCTCGGCAATCGAGCGCCAATCGAGAGTAGTATCAAAGCCACTCTGAACAGTATTCAACGCTATCGTGCCGATCAAGCCTCTAGTGTACACTTAAATATGAATAGAAGATACCGACGAGATTTGGATTCCGATTTGGAAGACAATGAGTTTCAAGAACCGCCTCAAGCCGTCTACAAGCAGCCTGGATCAAGAAAAGCTGACATCACCATGCTCCTGACGGACGCTGAAAAGATGGAATTTGTTGAAGGGGTGGATCACTTAGCTGTTCCCGGATCAATTTGTACGCCCAGAGCTACTGCTGTGGTTAGGGTAAGTTCTAATTAAGACTTGCTATTGTTGATAAATCTTACAATTGGTTTGTTTTAATTCATATACACGAAGACCAGCCATCTTTGTTTCTCCTACCATGGAGAATAAACGAGTTGGGGGGTAATCAAATGTCCTTTCAGTCAGCTATACTTGCCCACTCACCAATATCACTGTCAAACTGGGAGGTTGTCATAGGGTACCATGTTCGAAGTTCAACAGTGACCTTTTAAGCATAATCTTTTGCTAAAGGCTAGTATTTCACATCTTCATTGTGATGCGCAATGCTGGTTTATTGCAATGGGGTATTGGCTCTATGGCACTTAAATTAGCCTAATCTTTAATCGATAGTGATAGATATTGCATCTATCCAATTGAGACTAATGGTTTTCAAATGCTTATCAAAAACAGTGAAACCACCATTGGAGTTGCGACTTGCAATGCCAAGGCGTTATTTCTCCTCTCTTTTATTTTGGCGAATAATCTCTATTCCTCCATTTTCAGTGTGTGCAACCAATATGCCAGCATTGAACCTACACACCGCTTTTTATTGACCATCAACACTTACTGCCGCTCTCTACGTATTCCAGGTTATAAAGATTAGTACTCCATAAAGCAAAATAGCGTCATCACTATCCTTTCTTGCATTCTTGCAGGCAGTAATATCGCATCGTAAGATGCTAAAGGCGCAGAAATTTCACAAAGAAAAAAGTAATTAGACGGCTATAGTTATCGGAGCTTATCTGAGATTTCTAATTGGGTGGAAAAGCAAAAAACAAAACAGCCAATCCCATCTTGAGCTTTTTCAGGTCTGGTAAAAGTGTAAGAGACAAAAGGGGTGTTTTTTAGCGTTGCCCTTTTAATAATTCGACACCTTCTCCTAATTCGCTCGCTTTATCATTGAACAAGTCGAAAAGTGCACTTTTCTTTTAAGTCTAGTAGGCGCTTTGTTAAAATCAAGGAAACTATTCGTCGAAAAATTTCCCACATTCTTTTCATTCATACTAACCAGTTATCAAAATCGCAATGATTACCCTCGTAATGACAAACTCCATGAAATGTTTTCCTCTGTTAAAATTATGAAAATTAGATTCCGTAAACATTGAGATTCAATTCGTCTGAATTATGTTTAAACTGGGCTACCTAATCGTACAATAACGTATATTTTAACTTACTTATCTGAACAGTTGAACACTGGAAATAGAAAAATCATCCAAATAGGAGAGAAATGAATATCACTTCTATAAGTTCATTTGCACATAAGGGCCGTAATTCATTTTTCAATGTCCTAATTATTGCAAAAGTCACTTTCAATTCATCTCTGTGGTTTCTGAATGCACACTTTACTCACGATATTGTACAATGCGTTGGCAAGCGTTCATTACCGACTTGTACAAAGCTTATTACGAAATAGTTCGCAAATTTTAATTAAATGGAAACATTTCACTCAGGGGATATGACACTGGGTATGAATCGGAGTAAATAGGTACTAGAAGTGGGGTATCAAGAGCTTTGCATCTTTTGAATTAATTAGGTCACTGAGTACAATTCACATTATAGTACTCTAATATTCCAATTCTACGAATGAGCTCGCATAGTAGCTCGTGCTTATTTTCGGGTTGATTACCCAGGAGATGGTACATGAGGCGGAGGCTCTAAGTTGATTGGTTGGTACTCGAATCGGTCATCGGTCTATTGGCAACTTAAGGACAACGCGTTTATACTAGCCTTGATGTGCATAACAATCATTCATAACTCACTAGAGCTCATTCAAACCATACTCTTGTAACCAATATGACCGGTAATGTAAAAACTCAAGTGATTAACCAATTTTTGACCGATTAGTGCTACATGCTAAGGAAATCATTTATTATCTCCAAGCCCCGATATCTCTAACTGACATTGACCAATTAATATGCAAATAATTTGCTGTAAGTTTGATGTGTCTTTCGTAAATTGTGGATTTCGCCCACAGCACTACGAACATCACTTTTATAGATTAATACAGCGTCCTCAGAGCTACTGTTACTGGTGGTGGTTTCATTTCCGCATGGCCAATTTTACCGTCTCATGTTAACAAGTCATGGTTGTCTCGTGTGCGTCATGTTGTAGGTAAGGCCGTAAAATATTTCAACAACCTATAAATCACTGGAAGGTCTCGTATATGATGTGGCTAACCTTCTTCGCTCATACACTCAATTTAGACGCCGAATTCACGTAGATAGGGCACTCGGTTTGCTTTGATGGAAGCAACTGGCTTCGCTTATTGAAAACTATCAAAGCTGCATTGCGGAATAAAGAAAGCTCATAATGTAAAAGAACATAAAGTAGCGTCTTCAAGCTACGGCCCAATGATTCCCCTTTCAAGCTTAAAAGGAAATAGTCATTCTGCTCTCTCTCCCTCCCTCCATTTAATGCTCTATTGAAGTTAGAAAAAGTACCGAGATTAGGGAAACCACGGGAGAGACGAATCTCTCGAAATGGGTGAAGCCAAGCTCTTCTCTTCCCACCCTCTATCCTCTCCTCTGATTTTAAAACTCGTCCACAAAAGATGCTTGAAGGATAGTGGGAGAGAACACGCGCGTTGGACGCCAAGTACCCGTTAGGCGTCCGCCCGGCCACATGATGAATAATGCGTAAACGGACACTGCACGGTCCGGCCCCACCACGCTGGCGTATTTGCCTTTCCGATGACTCACACACACACGCACACGCACCAACTACTTTCCTACTTACTACTCCCGACATCTAAGTGACCACTGTTCATGCGCTTCCTGGCTTTGTGCAGTACTAAGACTCTACCAACTGCGTACTCTGCAAGTCGAGTCTTTTTGGCACTTCTCCGTCCAAAATGAGTTGCTTATACTTGGCTGCATTGTGTTAAAAAGTTGTGGTTACCTCAAGGAGCAACTAACTCCTCTTGTTGTCTGGTGTATTAATGCAAAGACGTTTGTCATGAATCGCTGAGTCACTAATGAGAAAACCATGAAGAGCATTTGCCGAGTGGATGAATATTCAAAACGCATTTCTGTCTACCAAAGTAACACAAAAAAATTAATTGTGAGAACACCGGAAGCACTGAAGTAGCCCTAGTAAGCATGTCTGAGACATCCGATGAAACAGCTATGGGAAACTGCAGATACATTTCTAGGGTTTGAAAAAATCATCCAATATCATAAGCAAGGCGAGTGTTGAATTCATATTTTGGGAGAATACCTTAGTCCATGGTATGGCGATCCTTTCCCCTAAATCCTCATTCGCAACTCAACTGTTTATTTCAAAATGCAACAATAAAACTTTACATAATTGACACGATCATAGGTAATGAAGCCCAGCTAACAGAGTTTTGAGGTGCCTCTTCTTGACTACATGAAATCTGGGAGACGATGAATTGTGTTTGGAGCAACGAGACTGGACCTGCTTGATCAAAAAATACCAGTTTTAATCATATTTATTTATTTATGTCAAATGGCAGGCGTTTTGCTGGTTATCATTAGCCCTTTAGTTGACTTCAGGCTTCACAGAGGGGAAGGAACAACAAAGTAAATAAAAGTCGAGGGGAGGGGAACTGAAGAGTGTTTCAAAGACGAAGGTAGAAAAGCTAGAAAAAAGGTGAGGTGAGTACTGTGAAGGGGTGGAATATGACATAGAGTGGGGTGATGGTAGTTTGAAGTCAGAAGTCAACTGCCGGTTTATAGACTTTTTTGCCGTATGAGTACACGTTACCCAGGGTGCACCACGTGGAGGTAAGTCTATCGCACATTGGCATGCATGTGCG